AACACATATACGCAAAACCATATATATACTCAATAGAGAAAGTTTTAAATTTTTTTTAAAGCTTTTTCTCAAGTTAATGAGTTTATTAAGGACGTGAACAATACAGGATCAGAAACAATTCAGGATACAACAACTCTCTGGTCATGAATAGTCATACTGCAGGCATGCATTGTTCTTGTTCTCAGCTTCTCATCCATGTGGCCCCTTGGCTACTGCCCTACTCAGACAAGTATTAGAAAACTCCTTCACCACTGTGGATATAACCCGAAGGCACTCAGTTTTTTTTAAAATGTTTTATTGTGAACTATGAGATAGCTTATATGGGAGAATATTAGCTTTACATTCATCCTCTCGTTTATCATTACATTGCCATAGTTACAATCCCCTTCATGCTTCATCAACCAACCAAATGGTACAACCTGAAAGCCTGTCCCATCTCAGCACACAGTCCCTCTCCCCCTCTGGGTCTAGAGTCAGCACACAGCCCCTCTCTCCCTCTCTGGGTCTAGAGTCCCCAGCTGCTCCATCTCTCCACGTCATCATCTCTACTTCCATCTCTGGCATCACTGTTTCTCTGGGTAGGGTCCTGCACTCTGCTCTTCACCCTTGATGGTCCCAGGGCCCTCTGCTCCTGGACTGCATAGTCAACCACTCTCCTCATTTTGCTACAAAATGTCTAACTTTACATTTCCAACCCTCACAGTCAGTCCTGACAGTAATTTTTCATTTTTAAAAAGTTTTTATTGTGAATTATGTGATAATTTACATGGGTAAACATTAGCTTTAAATTCATCCTATTGTATATCATTTCATTGCCATGGTTACAATCTCTTCCATGCATCATCAAACAATCAAAGGGTATACACTACAAGCCTGCACCCTGGTTATCAGCACACAGCCCCTCTACCTCTCTGGGTCTAGAGTCCCCAGGTGCTCCATCTCTGGCGTCACTGTTTCTCTGGGTAGGGTCTCACACTCCGCTCTTCTCCCTTGATGGTCCTAGGGACCTCCGCTCCTAGACTGCAAAGCCAACCAACCCCTCCTTTTGCTACATAACGTCTACCTTTACATTTCCAACCCTCACATCACAGTCAGTCCTGATAGCAATTGTTCACTATTGTACCACAAGAGTCCTATCCCCATCTCCTTTCATCAGCCCTGCCCAGATAGACTACTCAGTGGAGAGTCAACCTTCTTCTGCGCCCTCTGGATCTAGGGTCCCTCTTGAAAGCTTGTAAGCCAGTCACTTCTTGCCTTTGTAGCACCCCCACCCCACCCACCACCCCAGGTTTGGGTAGTCAAGGTCCAAGTCGCCCATTCCAGTCTACTCTGTATTGAGGGGATGGGAATGATCCTCGCTGTAAAGATTTGTTCCCTCTTTTGAGCTACTGCATCTATAGGTGTAGGTCAAGTTCATCAAATTGTATCAGTTTACTCTTTTTTTTCCTCTTCTTTTTTTTCTAGTTAAGTTCTGATCATCCAGCCATTGAAGCCAGGTTAAGTAGATATTATCTGCAAGTATGGATGTTATTGTGCATATGCCCTCTCTTCTTACCAGCTGGATGCTTCACTCTCCACTCTAGTTTTCTGTGGCTATGTCATGGTCTCTGGGCCCAGGAGTGCCCAGATCTTGTTATACTGCTGGCCAACCAGGTCTCCACCCGGGTTCATACATGTCCATTGAATGTGGTCGGACTTAGCTGGAGAAGTATATCATGTTTGGTAAGAGATCAGAGAAAAAGAGGAAGACCTCCAACGAGATGGACTGGCCAAGTGGCAGCATTGATGGACTCAAGCGTGGCAACAGTAGTGAGGTTGGCCCAGGATCGGGCAGTGTTTTGTTATGCTGTGCATATAAGGTTGCTATGAGTCGGTACCAACTAGGTGGCACCTAACAGCAATAACAACAACATTCACTTTTGTCTGCCTTTCCTTCACTGCCTTTCCTTCACTTTGTGCTAACAAAGACCAAAGAAAATAATAGAGAATCCTTAACAATAAACAGTAGGACTATTATGGTATACACTCTTTTCCTCCCTAGGGTTCATTCTCTTTCCTCCCATGTATACGGTATAAAAACCAATAGGCCTAGAAATAATTCTCATTTCTAGAGCGTTCTGAAGAAGGAAGGACTCAAGAATAGGAAACATGGAATAGGAGGGTTACTCATCATCACCACCTTTCAATTAGATTCCAGGAGAAGAGGGTAAGATGAATTTAGAAATGTATTACCCAGTTCAGTAAGCATCTGGAATAAAGGCCTCAGCTAAGTATACAGAGAATGCATTTAGCTGGAGTTTCCTATCACACGGGCTCCTAAATCTAGTGTGGTCTGCAATCAGGATTTTGTAAGCAAGAATCCTGTTACAGAATTAAAAGAACCACCTTAGAAATATTTTAATCCAGCCCTACTGATATGGATTTAACTGTTTCTACCAAAAAGTTGAATAAGCACTTGACTGCAAGGTCAGTATGAACTGCAAGGTAGGCAGTTCAAACTCACCAGTAGCAAAACTCTATAAAGGGTCGCTATGAATTGGAACAGGCTCGATGGCACTTAACAACAATCAAAAACAGATATTGATGTACTAACACTTGTACCTGTGAATATGCACTTGTTTGGAGAAATAGGGTCTTTCTTTGAAATCAGTTAAGACGTATCTAAGTAGGATAGGTCCTGATCCTAAATGACTGGTCTCTTATAAAAGAGCAGGACACAGGGTCACATAGAAGTAGATAGCAGTGAGGATCCATTTACAAGCTAAGGAACACCAGGAAATGCCTGGAATAAGAAAGAGATAAGGAAGGATCTTCTCTTAGAGGAGTTAGAGAGATGTCCAGAATTTGGATTTGTAGCTTTCAGAACTATGAGAAAATAATTTCTGTTCTGTAAAGTTACTGACTTTGGGGTATATGATAGATATCACAGGAGCCCTATGAAACTAGTAGTGGTTACCAATCGGGCTGCTAACCTCAGGGTCAGCAGTTTAAAACTGCTAGTTGTTCCATGGGAGAAAGATAAGGCTTTCTGCTCCTGTAAAGATTTACAGCCTCAGAAACTGGTACAGGATCACTATGAGTTGGAACTGACTCCGTGGCACATAACCACCACCACCACCATCAAACTAAGGCACTTGTTATTTTACAAAAAAGGAAGGCTAGGCCTTAAGAGAATATGTATTAGTATTAGTGCCTATTCTAGTTATCTATTGCTTCAGAACAAATCACTCAAAAACTTAGTGCATAAAACAGTAACAATTATTATTTCTCATGGTTCTGGAACTCATGACCATAGTCTTGGGTGATACCAAAGTAAACTGGTATAAGATCATCCATGAAGACAATATTTTATTTCTTAATTTGGTGAGTAGTGACTGGTATCTTAAGAACTTGTGGGTAGCCATCTAAGGTAAACTATTGGTCTCTTCTTGTCCAGTGGAAAGAAGAGTGAAGAAAATCAAAGATACATGGAAACAATTAGTCCAATGGACTAGTGAACTACACACACGACCATCAGTGACCCTGAGACTAGCACTACATGATGCCCAGCTACCACTACCAACTGCTCTAGAGGGGATCACATTAGAAGGTCCTAGATAGATTGGGAGAAAAATGGGGACCAAAACTAAACTCATAAAAACAACCAGGCTTATTAGTTGGATAGAGACTGGTGGGACCCATGAGATTATGATCCCTAGTCACCCTCTGTTGTTGTTATGTGCTGTTGAGTCGGTTCCGACTTATAATGACCCTGCACAGGGTTTCCGAGGCTGTAAATCTTTACGGGAGCAGAACGCTTCATCTTTCTCCCACGGAACCACTGGTAGTTTCGAAATGCTGACATTGAGGTTAGCAGCCCAATTCGTAACCACTATGCTACCAGAGCTCCTTTAGTCACCCTTTAGGTCTAGAAATTAACTCAGTCCCACAGCTCAATTTTCAGACAACAGGCAGGTCTACCAGAGGAACATTAGCACAGGGAAGGTATGCACACCTTACAATAATCAGTCATTTGATATAAAAAAGGCAGCATTTACCCAAGGACGAAGTTCAGAAGAGTTAAGAAAGAGGAATAGAAACAAAAAATACAAGGAGGAAGTAGGATAAGTGATGTTAAGTGTCAGGAATTGCAATCAATGACATGAAACAAAATGTGTATGAATTGTTGAATGAAAATGAATCGGTTTCATAAACCTTCACCTAATTAACAATAAAAAGTTTTATAAATATATATATATTTGTCAAATCAATGAACAAACAAATGAAATTCAAACTTTAAGAAATATTTTAAAATATTTCTAAAGTATCTATAATAACTCCTTATCTAAATCTCATAATCTGGCTTGCTTAAAGACTGTCAGCTTTTAGAACTATTCATAACTTGTAATTATCACTAATAATATCTTTTCTATTTAAGTAATGTATCTTTAAGTAAGCAACATCACTGTTACTTACTTAGGCAATAGTTTATGATAAGCAGCCTTATAAGGAAATTTAAGAATAACACCACTGTTAGCAAATACACCAAATGAAACAGTTTAAAACCATTCCAAGAATTTAGCATACTCAAGTGCAAACATATAATTTTCAAGTATTTTTATTCATAAATTATATATTTTCATATGTTATTGGACATAAGCCATTTAAACTTAAATTATCACTGTACAATCAACCTATTTTCTTTTTCTTACTGGAAAATATAACCAGGACAAAAAAAAAACCAAAAAACTTACACAAAGATCTTGTTAGCTAAGCTATTCCCTAGTCTGGACAAAGGCACACATATATTCAGCAAATTAAGTGCTTATTTTGCTATTCTGCAGCACACCATCCTTAATAATCTCACTTCTGCCGCAAGTATTGTCAAATAGTTTTTTACCTATTGAAACTGCATATAATTTTAATTTTATCATATCCTTCACAAAATGATAATCACAAAAGGTATTATCATTTTCATTTACTTCAACAAATAAAGACAGATGTTTACCAGTAACACTTACCAATTATTATCTGGCCAGTCTTCATAGCAGACCCTCCAGGCAGCAGACCATGAACCACAATCCTTTCTCCACCTCCTTGTTTCCCAGTTCTTCTCCAGCTCCACTTGGTCTGATGGATGATCCCAACCAGTACTTCCAGAAGCTTGAGCTGCTCTTTGGCTTTGGTGACAGTTAGCTTTTTGGGGTTTATATAAACATTCACATCTTTGTATCGCTGCTGGACAATGACTCCTGTTTTCTGATTGGACTGATGCTTTAGAATGGACACTGGCCCAGTGTCATTGCTATTTTTTTTATTGTAGCGCTTGGGTAAAAGTCTTTTACTTTTTAGAATTTTGGTAAACCGCTTCAGTTTGGGTTCATATTTTTTCCCTTCTTTGTAATCATCCTCTTCAATAATAATCTCATTTTCACTGAACCTAACATGATTTACAGTAGGTGTCTCAGGAAGGAGGCTTTCTTCTTCATCTTCACTCAATTCCAAATAAAACAGCTCTCCATTTTTCTGCACACTGTCCAGCCATTCAGGCTTAAGGTCACTACAAAGGAGACAGAGAAAAAAAGACATTTTGAATAGTAGTCCAAGATAAGAAAATCAGTCATGTCATAGTGGAGAGTGGAGGGGTGTAGCAAGTTGGGAGTGGATAAAAGTTCTTAAGAGTATTTCAAAAGCCTTTTACTTTTTCATTATGAACATCAGTATATTTTTCTTTTTGTGGAGGCATTTTTGCTGAACCTTGAAGGGCTGGGGGACTCAAAATGGTGCAAGGACTGAAAAGAAATGACTACTTTCTAGAATCTGAAGTTTTGTTGTTAATTCAGCCACTGTGTGGTCACTATTCACTTTAGATAATTTTACTGGATGAAAATTTAAATTAGCAGTTGATTGGGTAATTATATCCACAGAAGAAACCATCTTAAAGATTGTATAAGAAAACTTCCTGGTGCATAGAATTTATTTAACAAAAAAATTCATGTTAAAGTAAAAGGTAAAGGCTACCAAGTATTAATACATTTATACAACAAATTAAATTTTCAAAAAACACATGTTTGGGGGGTTTGCCGGGAAGCGGCAGCACAGCACCATCAGGTAGGCTCCATGGGGGAGGGGCTGAAATCCCAGGGACGTGACTCCCACAAAATTACACCAGCGCTTTGGATCTACCATAAAGGTCAGAGCGTCAGTTTCCCAAAACCGCCAGCGGAAAAATCACGGTATTAAGGAAAGCATTGCTTTTTGAAAATAAGCATGGTACTATCTCTACAGCTATCCCTCCTGGGAGGAAGCCAGACGGTGGGACTACAGCCAGGCTGGCAGAGTGCACCAGCACTGAAAGCAGGGAAGCGACAGTTGCGAAAGGGGGTGTGGAGGCATTTTACACATTTTTGTGTTTTTTTTCCCTCCCCTTCACTTCCCTCCCCTTTTTGCCCAGGCCACACCCCTTCAGGTGAGTGGGTGCACACACCCCATCAGGGTCCAGCATTAAGATCACAGCTTTCCCATGTTATAGAGAGAGAGCCCCACCTGCAAGGGACTTCCTCTGCAGCCATCCCACCTGGGAAGAAGTCAGAGGGCTGGACTACAGCCAAACCAGCAAAGGGTACCCGCATAAAAAGCAGGGAGGTTTTTGTCTTTGCTTTTATACTGCCTCTACTTTTGGACCTTTTGACCACATATTTTTTCAGGAGGTGGGAGCTTTTTCTCCATACGTTACCCAAGAAGTGACAGTAATCGCGACCATATAGCCAAGCTACAAGCATACCCCATAATACTCCACCACTGAGACAAGAGCCAATAACAGCTGCTAAACACTACATGTGAAAAGGGAAGCCTATCTCCTGATCATATCCACAAGGAGACACCCAGTAAGCTTAATAACACAACAAATACCCATTTAAGCATTAAAAAAATCACATAATTATTGGAAATGACTAACAAAAAACAACAAAAGATATCAGAAGAGGCAAATGAGCTGGAGAAAGATAAAGGCATTCTAGAAGAGGAAGAGCAGGTTTTAGATATGCCTGAGAAAGAATTCAGAAGAATGATATGGAAAACAAATTCAAATGCTCCGAAAGGGGTGCAGAAGAACAAGGAAGAAGTCAGGAAAGTACTACAAGAGCAATCAAATAAGATTGATACAGCATTGGAAACAATTCAAAACCTGCAAAAAGAGGTCCAGATGATTAATAATAAAATATCAGAAATGGACAATACACTAAAAGGGGAAAGGAGCAGAACAGAAGAGAAGGAAGCCAGAACTAGCGATCTGGAAGACAAATCTCTCAATGCTGCTAAGATAGAAGAACAAGCTGACAAAAGGATAAAAACTCTGAAGAGAGTTTAAGATTCATGCTGGATAATATGAAGAGGAACAACTTAAGAATTACTAGCATTCCGGAAAAGGAAGAATCTGAGAAGTCCACAGAGGAAATAGTTGAAGAGCTTCTGGAAGAAAATTTCCCTAACATCTTGAAAGATGAGAAGATAAAACATTCAAGAAGCTGAACGTACCCCAGGAAGGATAGACCCCAAGAGAAAGTCACCAAGACATATAATAATCAAGCTCTCCAAAATCAAAGACAAGGAGAGAATACTGAAAGTGGCCAGGGAGAAGAGAAGTGTCACTTATAAAGGCAAGCAAATCAGATTAAACTCTGACTATTCAGAACAAATCATGCAGGCAAGAAGGCAATGGGGAGACATATACAAAACCCTACAAGACAAAAACAGTCATCCAAGAATCATCTATCCAGCAAAACTATCAAATACAAAGGTACAATCAAAACATTCCATGATAAACAGAATCTGAGAGAATTTATCAAAACCAACCCAGCACTTCAAAGAATCCTAAAGGGAGTTCTGTGGACTGAAACAAGAATAGACAACAACCAGAGACTGACAGGCGTGGCAACACCACCTGGAACTTAGTTGACAGAGAACAGAGTCCAGAACAGAACAAGACCACAACAACAAACTCAAAGGAGCTGGGAGGTCAACCGAAGATCAAAATTATATCAGTGTCAAAGAAGGGATAAACATATCAACAGAGATCCAGGTGGTGAGGATGTCATGTAGATTACAGAATATAATAGAGTCTCTTAAATGAAGAGAAAAGTTAATAGACTATGAAGCAACCCCAAAGAGAGTTAATATTTCACAATGTACCATGAAAATGAACTTCCAAGCAGAACAAGCAAACATGAAAACTAAGAAGAAACTGACTAAGAAATAGCACAAAAAATACAAACTCAACACAAGAAGGCATGCAGAACAAAAGAACGAACAGCACTACCAAAAAAGTAACATTATGGCAGCAATTAATTCATACCTATTGATAATACATTGAATGTCAATGGGTTGAATGCACCAGTGGAAAGACAGAGCGTGGCAGAATGGATAAGAAAACAAGACCCTTCAATATGCTGCCTACAAGGGACACACCTTACACACAAAGACAAAAACAGACTAAAAATTTAAGGATGGAAAAAAATATACCAAGCTAATTGCAACAATAAACAAGCAGGAGTGGCAATACTAATCTCTGACAGGTAAACTTTAAGATAAAAACCAGCATAAGAGACAAAGACGGGCACTATATCATGATCAAAGGGTCAATTGAGCAAGATTATATAACCATAATAAATATCTGCGCTCCCAATGAAAGAGTACCAAGATACATGAAACAAACTCTACTAGAATTGAAGAAAGAAATAGATAAATCTACAATTATAGTTGTTGTTGTTAAGTTCCGTCAAGTCGATTCTGACGCATAATGACCCTGTATAGGGTTTCCGAGGAGCAGCTGGTGAGCTTGAACCGCCAACCTTGCAGTTCAAATGGCTTTGCAGTCTGCCGCCTTAACCCTTAGCGCCACACCAGGATAGTGGGAGATTTAAATACACCACTTTCGAAAAGGGACAGAACAACCAGAAAGAACCTTGACAAAGTTACAGAGGAACTAAATGACACAATCAGCCAACTTGACCTCATAGATGTATACAGCGCACTCAACCCAACAACAGCACGATAGACATTCTTCTCCAGTGTACATGGAACATTTTCCAGAATTGACCATGTGTTAGGTCACAAAGCAAGCCTCCATAAATTTACAAAGCATCTTTTCAGAACACAATGCTATACAACTAGAAATCAAAAATAAGAAGACCAAGGAAATAAAGTTGAATACATGGAAACTTAACAACACCCTGCTGAAAAGCGACTGGGTAGAAGAAGAAATTAAACGTGAATTCACAAAGTTCCT